CGTTCACAAAAGGATGCCTGCCAATCCAGCGTGCACAACCATGATACAAATCAAGTTGGCACTAGAAACAACTTGTGTACACAAGAATGCTTTAATGTCTAACCATGAAAATCAGTGCTAGGTACTTGGTGTTTAGTTTTACTTACTAGTATTGAAGCAGAAAGCACTACAGAGTGTGGTGTCTCTGAGATGCCTCTCAGAAACCATTGCAAGGTAGCACAAGGCAACAAGGGTAGACCACATTAAAACTGAGAGTTTTCCTCAATTCTCTAAATTCAATGTTCACTTTTTTCTGTTTGCAAAGGCAAAACATTACAGCCATCGATGTGAGTCTACTGTCAACTTCAGATTCACTTCTAACAAACAATAAAACCGAATAAACTTGTTCGTAGTTTCGAACTTTCTTGACGACGCCATATTTGTTTTGTTTGATTCATCAACACCGACCTGCGTTCTGTTTTTACCGTGGCTGTTGGCAGATAGTTCTTTTCGACAGTCAAGTGTCCTCCCCTCTCCGCCCCACCTCCCGCCGTCCCATCCCAGCAGTTTCGTCGTCTGCTGCTTGGAGTTCACCTCCACCTAAAAAGTGAGGTTAGGAGTCTTTCAGTCCAGAGCATCAAATCGGGTGGGTGGAGGGATGTATCAGCAGGGCCAGGTTGCCGTCGGCTGTAGGCCTGCAGGCACTCAACTGTTTGAGATCACCAGGGTGGATCGACGACGACGACGACGACCCCCCCCCCCTCTCCTTTCCCATGGTGCTATCGGTCAGAGCTGTCAAGGAACGGGAGGAAGGGCACCGCGAGGGTGCCGGCGGCGTACGTCGTCGTTGACGGCGGTGGCGCCGCTGCCGCCCGTGGTGCGTGCGCGCTAGTGCGCACATGTCGCCACACCCGAGCTAAGCCCTGTGCACCGCCGTCGAGCCGCGCAGCATGCCGCTCCCGCCTATGGTGGCCGTCAGCGGCTACGGTACGGACTCGGTGACGGCCGGCATGGCCTCACCCTGAGCACGCTGGCGGAGCGCACGCAGGGCGCGCTCGGTGAAGCGCCGCGAGTCGCTGACGCTCTGAAAGATATCCAGTTAGCGTAAAAGTGAGGCCGTGTGAGGATGCGTCAGGGCTGGGCCATTTCGGTAATCTTCGGCAGCAGTCTCTGCCACCGTGACGTGCCCGACGAGGTGCGGTACAATCCACGCGGCCTACTACCTGTACAGCTACACCATCAGGTACGTGCTCGTCGCGATCCTCGGCGGCCGCTGCCGCTGTGCCGAGTAGCCTCTAGGGACGGCAAGAGCTCGATGGCGAAGCTGTCCAGGTAAAGTAGGTGGTCACGCAGCCGGCAGTCACCGTCGTCACTGTGTCTGTGGCCGCTGATGGCCTCCATGGTCGAGGTCGACATGCTGCGCGGCTTGACGGTGGACGGTGGACGCGGCGCGCACGGCGCGGCGGCGTGCACGTGCACCGCGACAAGTGCGCGGGGCTGGAAGCTCGCATGTGGCGACATGGGCGCACGAACAACGGGCGGCGGCGGCGCCCCCGAGAGGGTCCACGGCTACATAGACGCCGCCGGCACCCTCCTTCATATCATTTGTTTTCATTGGGTCTATTTGTTTTTGATCGTTTCTTCAGATATTATTATCTGCTGGTATCCAACCATATTGCCAATGACTTGTACAGGGCGCAATTAATGGGCTTGGCATAGTAAAAGTCTCCATCCATACTTTTGTGAATGCTATTAATATTTGAAACACGTATCTTAGTGTGCGAGCAATATAAATGTCATTTAATTGTTTTTGTACGACTCTTGTTGTAATGTTACGATATGAATAATAATAATAAATTACAACATTTGTTGTAAAGTTTCAAATACAGGGGAAAGTTTCAAATACAGGGGAGTCGTAACTTTACAATACTATTTGTAATTATGATTTTACAAAAAATATCGTAACTTTACAGAGAAATTTTTCACAGTGAAGTGTAATACCGCACTCTTGAGCTGAGTTGGGCCAAGTGACACGATGCCTTCTAACGACAAAGTCAGATGTGTTGCGCTCCCGTTACACAAAGTTCGATCTGTTTCGCTCCCGTTACACAAAGTCCGATCTGTTCCGCTCCCGTTACACAAAGTTCGGTCTGTTCCGCTCCCGTTACACAAAGTTCGATCTGCTTTTGGCCGCTCTCGTGAGACCCAAGTTTAGAGCGCTACCGCAGTTTTGTTGTTGTGGCATTCAATTTTTTCTTTAGAGTATGCTGTTCTTCAATCTTTTAGCGACAGCAGGTTTTACTTTTTTTTCTACCAGCAATTTTAGCGAAAATATAAACATAATAAGACCGCGATGCAGAGCGCGACGGAAAGCAGATCGAACAGAGGCGAATACTGCCGACCCTATGGCAACATCGAAGCGAACCTCAGCAAACGTCTTGTGCCCAGGTGCGAACCTATGGCAGATTGAAGCGAACTCAGACAATCCCTTGGTAAAATACACGTGAGCGAACCATAGCGATCTTGATGCGCCTTGCGCGCGTATCACAGCGATTCAAAAGCAACGCCTTCGCTACCTAAAAGCGTACAATTCATTTCGGATCGGGTGAACTCTGGGCACGTCGATTCACCGAGCCACCTGTGCTTGGGCGCTCAGGGTTGGCCGCCGTCCGTGTGCACACAGCTGCGTGGCGAGCTGCGCGTTGCAGGCGTCGCGGCCGGAGTCGCCTCGGAGAACGTTTCCTTTGCGGGCACCTCCAGGGCGATGGCGATGAGCAGCTTGGACGCGTGTGTCCGCAGGGCCCGTACCACGTCATTATCACAGAGGCGAGTCAGTGCCCCGAAGGCATCGTCACCCCGGGCGCCTCGATGGGCAACTTGACGGGCAGTCTCCGGCATGTACGGTCCTCGAGGTACCAATTGTACAACGGCCAGATAGTCTTGAAGAGGGATATCGTCGTCGGCAAGTTCGGGGTGAGGAGGATTCTGTGCTGTCACAGCGCACGCTGTTGCCCTTCCTCGTGCCTTCCTCCACTGATTCAGAAACTCGTGCCCGAGCAGATCAAAGTTGCAGTCGCCAAGTGGGACCCCGTCGCCGGCTGGAGAGAGAATAACTTCTTCAATCTCGAGGGCGTGCCCGGCGACCCGAGGGCGGAAGTCTGCAACGTGGTGTCCACCCTGGTGAAGGATGCTATAGACGCGGTTTCCCGCAGCCAACCCCAGATCCCCAACAGGTGCCCATTTCGCAAAGTAAGTACGTCGCGCGGTCCTTATAGTTCTTGAGATAGCACGTGACCAAAGAGGAGAAAAAAGTCATTCCGTATCGTTTCGATTCGTTTCTAGATGTGTAGAAAGAGACCTAAAACAGGTGTATATCTCATCTCCGTGAATTGTCGTGTCGAGTATAGCGCTTTTATAGCACGACAGATTGCAACAAGCACGCAATGCCTCTACAGTGGACTCCCGATAACTGTCGCCTCGATAACTGTCGCGTGCGAGAGAGATAGGCATAGAAAAATAGCGCGTTCCACGCGGACTGACTGCCGGCTCCGGCGGCTCGCCCGACTCGTCTGCCGGAGGAGTGGGGAGAGCGGAGCACGGCAGCAGCGAACGCAGAGTACCCTCGATAACTATCGCGGCGACAGTTATCGAGAGTCCACTGTATAGAGCGTATTTAGTTCTGTTTTTCGTTCCGCACCTGACAGTCAATCTGGCACAACAACGAATGCAACTTTGAAAACTCCGTGCTTTCAACAGTGAGCTGGGTCAAAGAAATCAGACTTAGTTATTTCGTCTTTCCTATTCTGCTTCCGCCTCAACTACTTTATTGGTTTCCAGGGTACGTACATTATCCGTAATCTCAGCACTGCGCTTCTTGAACGCTACGAAGACTTTCCAGTCCTCCAATACGGCCGGTTCAGAGCAGACGTTATATTTTATCTAATGAAATCCAGGCAAATAATAGTCGGTTGTGCGAGGGGGGCCGGCGATATTGTTCCAAAACTGAAAACAAGTTGATATAATAAAGTGCCCGATCAAAAGGCTCAACACGCCAAGTTGACCAAAAAAACGTAAACAGAAAAATTGAAAAATTTATTTCGCCGCCATTTTCAACTCTATTCCAATTTAGTTTAGAAACTTCTGCTGCTTCTGCGGTTGCTTAGAAGGCGCCACCGAAGTAGCGCAGCCTCAAAGAGCGCCAATAGCTCCAGGAACAATATGGTATTTCAATGGAGCGCTGCCCGGAACTAAGAAGAACAAAAGCGGATACAGAGAGCGGCGGTGTGGGCGGGCGCGCGGAGGAGCGGCGGGTGGAGGGGAGCCTCACTGCCCGCCCCCGCCCCCACCACCGCTCCCTGCATCCGCGTTTGTTCTTCTTAGTTCCGGGCAGCGCTCCATTGAAATACCCTATTCCATCAGAACCAAGCGAATTGACTATTATCTCGCTGACGCGGACCGGCGCCAGCACAGCGCGGTACAAGGTGCTGCTCCACGTGAATGGCTGCTGCAGGAAGGTACGAAGGTCGCAGCGAGTAGTATTTCAGTGTTTGTTTCCCAGAAAACGCAAAAACGGTTCGTCGGAGAGGCGCTACAACGTGACGGCGATAGCAAGTAGGAAGCAAAAGGCAGAGGTAATTAGCATTTAGATTTCGCAAAAGGGATTTCGATAATGAAAGGGAGGAATCAGCAGCAGTAGTAGTAAGTATTATACCCTCCGGAGGCGCATATTGCATCAGTGCGCTTGCAGCTGTGAGGAGGATGCGGGAGGATGCGTTTGTTGCCACGACAGGGCAGACAGGGCCGCCTGAACCAACAAGTGCATTACAAGTGTCGAAACGCTTTCACACCCCAGTGCTCGCAGCCACTGCAGCAGCAGCAGCAGCAGCAGCAGCAGCAGCAGCAGCAGCTGCAGACGAACAGCGTTGCTCCCTGTCCGCGACCTTCCGGGCGGCATAGCGCGAGCGCGCAGCCCGTTGTTTTGATAGACGTCCAGGGTAGGGAGCGGCGGGCGGTTCGGATCAAGAGCGGAGCGAATAGACACTTTGGGGATCGTGCCGCGCGCAAGCACATCGCCTAGCTGCCCGCTTGGCTTGTGAAATACTGCTCGAACGCCTCGCAGCTCGTGGCCAGCGATCTCTTATCATTATGGAGATCCTAGTTTACAATTTGGACAGCCCACGGCAGCGTCCGCACTGCAGCCGCTCTATCTCTCTCTCTCTCTCTCTCTCTCTCCGACACGCACGCCGGGTGCCCTCCATGAGAAATGCGCGCCGCGCCAGGATCCCGCCGAGTTTAGCACGTTGTCGACGTTGTCCGTTTCTTTCGCCAGACAAATTTTTCATATCGCGCCGACGTCATCGAAAAACACATCGACAACATAATCGATAATATCATCTCGTTGACCACGAGGAGGGGGGTAAGGGGGCGGGCGGCGCTGGTTTTTCGTTGACAGCCTCGTCGTGTGTGCTCTGCTCGTGAGAACGCGCTCTCTGGGGCGCCGGGGCGCCGGGGCGAGCATGTCCATGTAGTGCATGTCCAACGTCAGCGTGCCCTGTAAACACAGTCGTCACAAACAGCCACGAGATCGATGGATGGGTGGATTAAGGACATCGGGCGCCATCATCTCAGCTTTGGCTCTATAGGCGTGACTGCAGCACAGTTGTGCGCGATAACATGTCTGCATCTCCCCCCCCCCCTCTCCCCCCCTCTCTCTCTCTCTCTCTCTCTCTCTCTCTC